CCCTGGGCACACTTAATTAGCGCCCCGAATGATTCGGCCCACAGGCTGTCTCAGCCCAATTGATTTCAGGAGTCAACGCACCCGATTAGGAACACAGACGGGGAAAATCGCTTTCTGGGCTGATGTCCGTTTTCAAACGAGTTTTTGTACCGTCCTAGATTTCAAAAAAGTGTGACTGCCCACAGGCGTTCTCAGCTGATTTGTATCTGACACGTCGTTGCGCCAGCATGCAGATAACATTATGGTTTTGTCAGTTTAAATTCAATGGGGTTGATAGGGAAGAAGGTCCAGTGTATGAGCTTCCCAGATAGAAAGTTGTGCATTTTTGTATGTGAGTAGGAGGATAATAGCTGTCCAGTCTCCTTCAATGCAACGACTGCCTATTGGTAATGTCTGCCTGCCACCATTTACTGTGGTGTATTTGGTAGATCGGAAGTGTAGCTGCCACCCGGCGACGCAAGGGCTCATTTATTTATTTTGGAGTGTCCCCTTGTAATTCTGTTAATTAATTACTTATACTGTTGACTCGCGTTTGTAAGGTACAATGTCGCGTTTAGGGGTTAAGTGAAGTGAACATTGTTCGCCACCGTGATTTTTTTCCCGACTGTTTTGTTGATATTAGCAGTTTTCTCTGTGGCTAAGTAAATAACAAGGGATATACCGGTATGTTACTCTTGCGAGCAAACTTCTACGAATGATCAGTTAATTATGATTATCTTGTCGAACTGTCCTAATTGTTACAACAAGCTTGCTGCAATGAATAAGATTTAACAGGGCAACGCATGTTTTTCAGCAACATCAAAAGGGCCTGTGGCTAATGTGTTTTAATATGTATATAATACAGTGGGGGACAACAACATGGACAGAAAAATTGATTACTTTAAGTTTTCATGCACTGTTGGGGGTACCAAGGGGGAAGGAAAGTGTATAGGTGAGTTTCATGAAATTTGAAGTTTCATTTGTCATGACTTACAAAGCAACAGCGGTCTCCTCCTAGGCCATGATAGAAGATAGGTAACGCATGTCAACACAGCTGGTCCATTAGATTAGTGTTTCCCACCACAGCACAGTACAGGGTGGCGGGCGAATTACGTGTTGACAGACATTACCAATACTCAATAAGCAGTCGTTGCATTGAAGGAGACTGGACAGCTATTATCTTCCTACTCACATACAAAAATGCACAACTTTCTATCTGGGAAGCTCATACACTAGACCTTCCTCCCTATCAACCCATTGAATTTAAACTGACAAAACCTTAATGTTATCTGCGTGCTGGCGCAACGACGTGTCAGAGACTGTTGATACAAATCAGCTGAGAACGCCTGTGGGCCGAATAAATTTTTTGAAATCTAGGACGGTACAAAATCGTTTGAAAACGGACATCAGCCCAGAAACCGATTTTTCCCGTCTGTGTTCCTAATCGGGTGCGCTGACTCCTGAAATCAATATTATAGGGCAATTTCGATTTTTGCTTTTTCGCATTTCACACTTTCTAAATAGGTTCCGGCAATATTTTATATTTCTGCCATTAAATTCCATGCTTCTTTAGAAATCACCGAGTTTGTGTGCCTCCAACTTCCTTAATAGAAGAGAAATTGACAGTATACAAATTGCGAACCCGTTCGCGAAGGCATTATTTTGGGGCCATCGTTGTCTGTACTAGCGCCCTCATCCATTTTGCATGAAGGCTTTGTGTTTTTTCGTACACATTCCGTCTGTATTTCCTGTTAGTGAAAAAAATCTCAGTTGTTCACGTTGTTTCATAGCTAAGATATATTCCGGCGAAGGGTTTATTTAAACATTACTTTTTGTCTGTAATTTGTTTGTGGACGTTTATGTGCTCTTTCTGCTATGCCGTGATCGGCCTCCGTAGAATTTCTAGCCGGTTACGTGAAGGGTTGCTTGCAGCCGTAAAAATAGCGTCCAGCCGAAAATCAGGCTAGCCGAAAATCCGGCCCGAATTTCGTGCCAATTTCAGCNTTGGTTGTCTAGCGGATACGGTAGATTAGCACCCAGCAGGGCAGTGACAGCGCTGTGCCACCTCCTTAGCCTCCCTCCTCCTTGGTCGGAGAAAAGTACTGAAACATCATGGACAGATTCGAATGGGGCAGTGGAAACATGCTGCAGGGAGAGACACAAGTGAAGCAGCAGCATGGAGTACGACTTCACGATGGATCAGACAAGGTTCGAGCAGTTTTGTTGATTAATGGAGTCCATGGAGGTAGTGCACTCGTAGTAGTACTTGATGACTACCACCGGGGGGGATGGGAGGGACCACTACAGTACCTGTGTCGTAGAAAAATATATGTATGAAATACATATGTCATAAACTGCCTGCTGCCTGCTGTACATTGACAACAGTGATAAAAACCCCAATCTCAGGTGTTCAAGACTGTGAAGACACACATCGAATTGAAAGCTTATTTCCTAATCTCTCATTTTCCTTTCAATTTTTGGCATTGGCATGATTGGCGGTTTCACATGTTTAACTGATGACATTTGAAGATCCGTTTCGTGATGGTCACCCCTACCCCCAGAACTGTGGGGTCTGATGTCTATCCTGCACGATTTTGGTAAAATAACGAGATTTGAAATGCCGGCAAACAACAATAACATGGCCATCATTGCCGTTACCATTGGAGTCTATGGTAAAATTGTTTTTGATCACTATTTTGGAAAATTGCCACGGTAAGCATAAAATTTGCCACGGTGAATCGATGGCAATTTTTAATGGTAGCATTTTCATTTATAAAGTAAACCTTGGCAAAACTTTACTTTATTCGCATAAACGTTTTCATTTTCAGAATTGAACTCGCTGGCCCACCGAATTCAACACATCCAGTGAAAATTTCAACCGAAAAATCTCCTTGATCCATTTTTAAGGATACCAAATGAAAGGAAAGTTTCATTTAGATCTTGGGTAGCATGTTTCCTGTAAATCTGATCAATCAGAGCAATTTGTATTGAAGGTTTTGGCCAATAAGATCGATGTCATCTGCGAACCATGATCTAAAAATAGTTCAAAAATTACGTCATCGTTGCACAAACGAGCGGCGTATGCATAGTCTGGCGGCGTCGCTAGATTGTGGTTTGGTGCCTGACCGTCAGTGGTGCGGACTGTATAAACATAGACAGCAACCAGTCCAAAGTACTAGTACCATAGCCATTCAACATTCCATTGCAAACTAGAGCAGTTTGGAAGCCTCCGTTTTGTCCAGTATTTTCACGAAAAAAAAACTGGCATTCCACTCATAGCTTCTGTCCTTTTTTACAAGCCATCCAGTCTACATAATATGCCCAATACCAGAGAATTTGACAGCATATGATTCATTATTTGGTCTGTGCAAGTACTTTTGGGCCTAGTTACTGGACTGCAACCTTCTTACTTGTTCATATGTGTCCTTGATTCTCCCATAAAATCTGACCACCCAAGGCTTTGAAACAGTATTTTCTGAAAAAACTACTAAGCAGTTGAAATTTCTTGAAAATTGTATTTTTATGATTCACATTCTTTCATGAGAGCAATCCACAGAGCAAAGTTGCTTCCCTATTTGCCCAGGAGCAGAGAGGATTGGACATTACTGTGGTTAAACTTCCTGCCTACATGTAAATCTCCACAGCTGGTGCTCTTGGAAATATGTGATGGTCAAGACAATATATATTTATTTAAACCGCATGTCATGTAAACATTTAGGGGACCACAACTAAACCTTGTGGAACCCATTTATGGCAGATCATGTATTCACCGATACCTTCTGCCATAAAGGCTTCAAAAGTTACATCTGCTGCAATTTTCTTAATCTTTTAGAGTGTACAATATACCTGTGTACATGTGCGACCACACAGCTGGAACGGCCACACATGATAAACTAGTCGTACTTCATTTGTGTTTTAATGCACAGACAGCAGCTTGTCAGTGGAGGATATGGCACTGTGTAAAGTGTCGTTTGTTTGTTTGTTCTTCAGACTGCTTTTGACCGAGGCATCATCACGCTAACAACCCATCGCATGATATGGACAAACTCAGTTCAACAGGTAAAACACACAAGTGTGATGTACATGTACGTAACGCTTTATCAGAGGTGAAACTCAGAAAGGAACACCATGGAATAGTTTCTTTTACTGTGACATAAATCTGAAAAACGAATGGAGTTTTTACTAGATTTCCTACTAGTCAGCTCCAGTTGACCAAAGAGCAAAATGTCAGGTTTGTTTCAGAACCATGCCACTGTGGAAGAACCCAATACCCATGGGTGTCTCAGCAAAAACATCCATCACTCTTAGGGAAACAGACGCAGGCAACTAGCATCAAGATAATTCCCATTCTTTTGTTTTCTTATTTTTTTCTTTGTTTTCCAATTTTTAGAACTGTAGAAATATAATAATTGTTCTTGCAGACCACAATTATATGCTTACCTTTGTCTCTGGTTGTGTATGCCGAAGAAGTCCCTCAAGGTAGAGGAAAGAGGTAGGTGCAGGAGTGTCACAAGAATGTTTCTAAGAATAGATGACTGGAAAAGGAAATCAAGAGGTGAGACAAACTTGGATAGTAACTAACTCCTAGCCATTTTTTAGTCCCTTTTTAACCAGACATTTTTCCCACAACTTTAATGTGAAATTCACTTGTAGGTATTTGATGCAAGCCCGTTCATTGTAACCATTTCATCGTTGTAAATCTGTATTACATTTTTTGCAGCAGGTTGAGAATAGAATAACTGTGGGATCAAGGTGAAGGATTTCCTCAAATAAACATCTTGTAATATGCTGTTTCTGGAAATTTTGCAGTGTCATTAGAGAAATTATTTTCTCTTGCCCCTGTTATTTGCAAGCTCGATGGTTTAGCACCTGTGGCTTCAAATTGTAAGGGTCCAGCAATATATTCTTATATTGCAGCCCTCAGATAGCCTGTCATCTGTACCCTTCCCCACCTGACAAGCCCCCAGGCCCGGTCATGATGAGTGGTCATTCCTACATCCAACTCACTTTCAAGGAGGCAGGCGAGACAGAGGTATGTGGTTCTCAGCTTGGATGTCTCAAGAAAAAAATGGCAGGACAGGTTCGAGCGCAAACTATGTTCAACCATCTGTCAATTACATTTTAAACAATGCGCATGCGCAATACAGTTACACCCAAAGGTCCCTGGTCAATCTACTTCATAAAACCTGGTCATTACCTACATTTAGATGCCTGACACCAACTCTTGTGACATGCTTAGTCAATGACATCTTGCACAATTATTTTCATGTGAATGGTTCCCTCTGTACTGATGTATAGTATATTGGCCATTGTTAATTAACCAGCAGTGCGACTGTGCTCCAGGATCTGGTTCCAGATGGTCGACTAGATAGTCCAAACCATCCATGGTTCAGGCAGTGTTTGTCAAACTGTAGTTAACTTTAGTCGTTGCTTGAACTTGCTGTAGCTGCCGACTGAAAGGAGATTTAACAGTCATGGTAAAGAATGGTTTTGTTCATCAGATATCCACACAGAAAGTTTGACTGACGGATGATGTGGCAAAAGAATGTATTTCAGGCATAAGTACCATTAGAACACACTCAATGTAGTCACAAATTATTTGCCAAAAGAGGGTTTGCATGGCTGCCATCTTGCAGGCTAAAGCTTTTGTTCCACAGAGTATGCAAAAACGAGGTTTACCTGTAAAACAAAAGAACTGCCTTGCAAGATGACTTCCACACAAAGCCTCTGTAATCTAAAACGTGCATGTATAGAAAATTGGGAACTTGAATATTATCACATTTTTTTAGATTTTGATTGTCAGATTGTTCATTGAAGTTAATCACAGAAGCAAAGAAAAACGTAACGAACAACAACTTTTAGAAGCATCGATGGTGGTGATATTTTGTTAGGTTGTCACTGTGATCATTATCGTGTAGTTTTTCAGATGCCTCACCGAGGAACTGTCCAGAAAGCGTTGGGAATACATGCCCGCACCAAAAGCCGCTGGAAAGGTTGGTGCTTAATAACATTCACCGATTATATGGTACATTTTCATTGATAAAATCATCTGTTATCCCTAAACAGAACTTTGTCACTAGAATTTCCCTCTTTTATTGTTGATGCATCTTTTTAAAGCACCTAATCAGTTGTTTGTTTAGCATTTTACGCTAAGAATTTGGTAGTACATGAAACCGGCAATACATGCTTCCAGCCTTATATAGCTTCATCGTGTTTTATTTTGTACTGTGTAGATTGATAAATACTGTAAATTATTTTAATGTATGGAACAGCCTAGAGCGATCCATGCTGGTATCGTTGGCATCGAGAGGAACCTTGAGAAAAAGTGGAGGGACACTGATGAAAACATATCCAAGGTATGTATGGCAAAATATGTAGATCCATGTTCATTTGACGTAAATACCAAGGCATGATTTACACAGTCTTTGAAAGTTGAATTAAAGCTTTTGGTAAAATACAGAGACCTTTAGTTGGACAACAATGTTCTTGGTGTGTGTTCCTCATCCTACCACAGCTTGATAGTGTAGGATAAAGACCGGGTTTTTTTCAGACATGAGAGAAATTGCGGGTTTAATGGAAGTATTTGGAATATTTTGCGAGCACTTCTTTACAAGAATTGTATTGTTCTTCCTTCTAGGCCTTTGAAGATCTAAACAAGTTAATGACAAAGGTGAGTTTGTACAAAGTTCTTGTTACTAAAGGGTGAGTCTTTGCATTTTTGTCTCTGAGAAAATTAAGAGGTAACTGGCAATAGATTTGAACCACGAACCTGTTATTCTAGAAAAGCATTCTATTTCACAGCAACTGCTAGTAATGTAAAGCAGAGCAAAAATACAGCTATTTAACCCTAACACTCCTCAATCCTTCACCTGTTGGAGGACTGAGGACCTTAACACTCCTCAATCCTTCACCTGTTGGAGGACTGAGGACCTTAACACTCCTCAATCCTTCACCTGTTGGAGGACTGAGGACCCTAACACTCCTCAATCCTTCACCTGTTGGGGGACTGAGGACCTTAACACTCCTCAATCCTTCACCTGTTGGAGGACAGAGGACCCTAACACTCCTCAATCCTTCACCTGTTGGAGGACAGAGGACCCTAACACTCCTCAACCGTTCACCTGTTGGAGGACTGAGGACCTTAACACTCCTCAATCCTTCACCTGTTGGAGGACTGAGGACTGTTAGGGTTAACATAGTTTGCTCTTAAACCTATTTATTAACCCTGACCACGCCTACTGGTCAAGATTCTATTAAAATGGTAATTTTACCTATGAGATTAGAATTAAAGCAGTTTGTGTCACCCAGTGCAGTCATTTTGAAATCCACATTTCTTTATTTTTTATGCAGGCTAAGGAAATGGTTGATTTGTCCCGAACAATAGCCAACAAGATCAAAGACAAGCAAGGAAATATCACTGAGGATGAGGTAACTCTTTCACGTGTGAATCACACATGATGTTCATTTGTGTGTCGTGATTGGTATTTTGGTGTTTCATTGCTAGCAGTTCTGTAGCATGAAAAGAACCAGACACTTCTAAAGGATATTTGCCGATCCCAGAAGAGACAAAAGTTCCGGTAAATGGAGTGGGGTGGCAGGGTGGCTTGTGTGTAAAGTATTCGCCTCTCACCACTGTGGTCCGGGGTTCGATTCCCTGCCCTGCCGTATGTGGGTAGAGTCGTTCGTTGATTGTCTCCTGTGCCACGAGGGTTTTTCTGTTGGTTCTCCGGTTTACCACCCTCTGCAAAAACCAGCATTTACCATCTCGGGCTGTGCTTTATGGTCAATTTGAGTCATCTGCTGGCTGCCTACGGCACCCAAGCAGATATTCGGCACGGTAGCTGCGTTCTTCGCAATTCAGCCTACGGGCTGCGAGTAAGGATGATTAGCCCTGCCCCAATAATAACAGTAAAAAAATGGCAAAAGGGTATATTCGACAGGCAGATATCGGGCAGCCACTGTTGTGATTCCAAGTAACGTTCTTCCTCTTAACAAGGAGCATGAGAAACTAAGGACATGCTTTTAACCTCTGCAGTTATTTTAAAGTCCTTCTAAACCTCGTCATTTGCATTTGAACTGTGGTGCAGCCATTGATGACAAAGGCGACGTGTCTTTTCAATGTGCAGACAGTACAATTCAAGTCTTACCTGTTGAGCTTGGGCATAGCCAACCCTGTCACCAGAGAGACCCACGGCACAGGTACCAAATACCATGAGGAACTAGCTAAGCAGCTGGCAGATGTACTAACCAAACCAATAGAGGTAAGATCAGTCCCTCGCCATCATTTTTCTCCTGTTTGACCCATCTAGTGCCCGCCCTGTCGGTTGCCCCCATTTTCTCTTCTTGCTCCAGTTCTTGAAAATATGAAACTGCTGTGCGATGGCAACTTGTTTGCAGTGAAATCTTCATCAAGGGTCTGCCTTGTTTTGCAAATTCTGTAGGAGAGTGGTGGAATGATGGCATTGTCTGATGTGTACTGCAGAATCAACAGAGCACGGGGAATGGAGGTGAGATTCCAGATTTGATAAGGAGGGGAATATTTTGAGTAAGGTACAGTAAGTTACTTTACTATTTACACAGGTATTTTCCTTACGCAGAAGCTTCAGAAGAATGTTTACCTTTTCCAAATATAATCACATACAGAATAATGTTTATTCAGACATTCAAAGTTTTCAGCTTTTATTTAATGTTTTCCCCTTTTCGAACTAGCCATTTCGGAGGTTCCACATTTTATGACTTGGGCAGCATCCAAATCTGTGGTCCAGAACTAGGTCTATGTCTTTGCTCTGTTGGAAATACATGGAGACATACTGACAGCAGACCTCTCCTACATACAAAAGAGGTACTAGAGTGCTTTTGCTTGTCTTTGCCGACAGCTGCTTTCTCCCGATGATCTGGTTGCCGCCTGCCAGCAGTTTGAGGCCCTTAGGCTGCCCCTCAGGCTGCGGGTTTTTAGCAGTGGTGTCATGGTGATTGAACTGGTCTCCAAGGGAGAGGAAGCCATCATCAGACAGACAGCTGAACTGGTAAGAGCAAAGCCTCAGCCTCTTTTGAGCCAATGTCATAAAACCTGGTCCCATCTACAAACGTAGATACAGTGATTGTTGCTTGTAAGGTTAAAGCTATGTAAAGTTCTAAATGATCATACGTGGTTGTCAGTTTTTATTCATTTAGACATGAACTATAAACACCTGTTCTTGTCATGCAGTATGTTGTAATTGCTTTTAAACTCTAATAACTTTCAGTTTGGATATTTTAATCTTCATTCAAAAACAAATTGAAAGTGGACTTGAAGCTCTCTTAGTTCACATCGATGAAATACTATTTCCCACATTCAGAAAACCTGCCCCTTTTCCCCCAACATTTTAAAGGTACAGTCCATCATTTGCCATTTGTGCATTATGTTCCTTTATTATGGCAACAAAATTACTCAAAATCTAAAGAAGGGAGCCTAAGAACAAACGTGAAGAAGTTTCAGCTCAGTGAATACTGTATATTTGAGAAAAAAAATATTGTCGGATTATGATGTCACATCAAAAGTTGCCGGGTGACATTTTAAATTCTACTCAAATTCAGTGTCTGGGGCACATTCTTACACTCAGTTGAATGCAGCTACACAATGTCACACACTGAATTGACGGATTAAAGAATCGCATATGTGTGTCATGGCAAAACACATGCGCAAGCTTCTAATGGTGGCTTTCCAAAAATGCATCTTTAGATGCATCACGGGAAAAGGCCTCCTTTCATTGTTATCTTCAAAATGATAGCCTCTTAGAAAGAATAATTTCACAAGGAATTTAGTCCCATAACTATCTTTAAATCAAGTATGCTTTTCAGTAATAATTTTGTCAGTTACTTTTTGGATAACTGCAAATGATGGACTGTACCTTTAAACCCAATACACATTTTTACTAATGTAAAACTTTCGACTTCTTTCAGCTCGGAGAAAAGACATCTCTGAGCCCAGATGAGCTTTCCCAAAGTGCCGGCATCTCCATTCTACTGGCTAAAGGAAGGTGAGGTTTGTTATGATGACCATACGGTGTTGGTAGAAACATTTGAGAATTACTGAATTGCCCATGTAGTTTTTAACAAAGTTATTGAAGTGAAAGGGAAGAACACCATAGTGGAAGCAGCCAGGTTATGTCCCGTTTCTATTCTTGCCAAGTTTGCAAAGTCCGTGACACCGTAGTGTGACCAAGGCCACTAACGAGAATTGTTTATTGTTTGCAAATTCACTTATTTGTCAGAATTAGCCTCATACTTTTCATCTGCAAGAAAAATGATGTCAAAACTAGATTCTTTGGTACATGAATTAAAGATCAAAACAAATCGCATTATTTTTTTACTCTTGTTCCTTCTCACTCTACGTTCCTTTGATGATGGTTCAGTCCAAATGTTGATTGAAGCATACATTCCCCTTCATTGGTTGGATTTGCAGGTTGTTGGCCACCGAGGAGGCAGGACAAGCATGCCGGGATGAATCTGTCGAGGGGATCCGATTCTTTCCAAACCTGTTTCTCAATCCGCCGACCAGATGATCTTTCCACTTGCGTTTTTGACTGGTGATTATCTGGCAGTGGTTCTTTGCAGCTCTTAAATCTGTTTATATGAAAAATGGCTGTGTGTGGCATATCAACCCCTGCATTGAAAACGCTGGTATTGTTTCTTAGAAAGTAGAAAAACCAAATATGAACACTGGGGCTGTGTGGCCAATAGCCTGTCTGTTAGTGATGTGAGAAGTCTTTATAATTTAAGCTCCCAATATAAGTTGTGCATGTACTGTAATCCAATGGATGTGCAGTCGGTCTGATGTCTAACTCTAGGTACTTTTAATCATGCACTCTTTGGGACCCTTTCTCTAAACTCAGTCCTAGGACTCTGTTTAGTCATTGTCTCATATAACTTATTATCACTTCGCACTTCCGTCAGCCAAACGTACTGGTTGTCATCAAAAACAGATAAATACTTTTTACCAACAAACTACAAGCAAGCTTTCTCCTGAAAGGTATGTCTCATAAAGATGTCCACGATTAGCCCGATAAAGTTTCAGTGTGGACTGGATCCAGTTAATAAAAAAAAGGAAAGGCCTGTGGTACAAGGAGTTTTAAAAAAGATTAATTCAGATTTGAATTTAGTCAAAACAGTGCTACATCAATGAGGTGGAATCTTTTTTTAAGAAACAATCTCGTTTTAATCAGCTGGGCAGCTTTCTGTTCTCCCCTCAGACACTGCCCCACCTGCTTATGTAGGGGGCTGGTTACATTTTCCAAGCCGTGGGGAAGGGAAATCAGTCACAATCATGGTGAACAACCGGCTTAGTGCACCCAACCTATGCACATCAGGGTATGGTCAGGGATTATCACTTGAAGTTTGCCCATATCTTGGATTGGACATTCCTGTGGGGACATTCCAGCAAGAAGCTTCAGAGGCATGTAACTATAGCCAATGCATTTCATACTGAGACATGTCCCCCAACTCTCCAAGGATCATGTTGGAAATTGTGATAACCAAAGAGATGTGGAGTTTTGGCTTTGTGGACGAATAAAATATATCATGTTCAATTTACACTCATTTGTGTATTTGTATGTGTTGTTTTGTTTGGTATATCAATGCTGCAATGTAACTTAGGCTTGACAGCCTTGAAAAAATTAACAAAGTGTAGTTCCTGGATTAAGAAGATAATGCTTTATGAGATACGGTCGACATGACAACATGGCAAGATGTTTTAATGTGATAACTCCGATTGGCCATTATTTACAGGTAACTGCTTGGAAGCAGTCTTCAGTAATTTTTCTAATGCTAAAATACAGCCTTTGTGCGAGGAAAATTAGTCCATAAATAGTAAATGTAATGCCAAAGTTTCTGAACTTTCTCTCAAGTTATCCCAGAAAGCAGAAAGAGCCCTATGATTTCAATATTGTCCAAGGGGACAACCCCAGCCCCCAGCTAAGCCCCTTCCTCCTGGTGAGCAGCTACCCCTCCCTCATTGACATAAACCAAAAGCATCTACTTGACCCCCCCCCCAGCTGGCACTGTTGCCGCCTCTAACACCAGAGGCTCGCGACGGGATGCCCCCCCCCCATCAAGACGTGATTTATGTCAAGCCCTGGCCCCGTGCCCGGATAGCAAGATTTGCCCCTGCTCAGTTAACCATTCTGGGTTTTGTTTCTTTCTCCTGGGGGTACAAACTGGTAAGCAGGCAGGGGGTGGGGATTCATCCATGCAGGCCCCCTCCACAACATGCATTGTGATTTGTTAGATTTCGTCAAAGGTATTCCAAATTGATATACATTCCAATGTATTTTTACTGTTCTTGTTTATTACGAGAACAATCATCATCCAAAACCACGGCCTCTCCCCCCTCCAATATCCTGCTGACATGTATACATCTGGTCCCATAATGAAGACTAAGAAAGAGATTCTCAAACTTCATACTAAAAAGAAACGCAGTACCTGCGGGATTTCTGTGTCTCATTAATCCCTCATAAAGATAAATGACCCCTTGACACGCCCACCCCACTAGACTTCTTTCCTCACCTCTTGTTTGGGGGTACAAATTCTAATCTCTACTTCTTTCTTGATGGAATAATTATATCATATGGTTCCTTTCCAATTACAGACGCCCATGCAGCTTCCCTGTAACTGTCTTCATGACAAAACTTGAGTTTAAAATGGGGAAAGCGAGCGTTTTTGGAAACTCCATCCAACAAGCAATAATTTCCGGATAGTGGTTCGACTGAATAAGTCTATGGAACCAGTCCAAACCGGTTTGATGACAGACACATTCCTCAGCCCACCGGACGCAACTTATTTAAATGAGCAATTGTTTTAGACCAATGAAGTTGGCCATATTGACAAGCACCGGTTTTCCATACACTTATTGGTTACAAGTGTTTCAAGAATGACATCACTCATCCTACATCGTCTGATTCGTGTTGGTAAAAAAGTAGGGCCTCAAATTCAATAAAATCAATACTTTGCACCACAAATGCTAATGAATTTATTGGTGGGATTTTGCTCAAAACCCCACCAATAATGCCATCCGCGTGCATAACGTGGCAGACAAAGTTTACTTTGAAGAAAAAGTCGCACAAATTCTTCAAGCGGAGAAATACACTCAGGGTCATCAACCGGAGACGCAAACCCAATGCATGCACGTGTATGTGCAAAATAAGCCCGCCGATCTTTTTACTTCTATCTCATTCCGCGACTCACTTTCATCGAAGCAGGACCTCCAGAATTTTGCGCTCCGTCTCGCCTGGACATTTTCAGACTTTCGAAACGTTCATGAAACGTCAAAGTTATCTTTCCTTGGATGTTATGGACGGGATGATTTATCTCCAACAGCTGTCAGTGAAAATTTCAAATGAAACACATCTTTTCTTCGGATAACTGAATTTGTCTCACCATTCTCATCTCCAGCCACCGTGTGCGGATTCCTCTTCCTCCCAGGGTCGATTTCCCGCCGAGTCAACCCAATTTCAATCTGCGAGTCCGGCACGTCCGAGACAGCCACTCGTTTTTCAATTCCTTGGGAATTCCTCAAGCTCACAGGAGTAAGTTTAACATCCGCAAAACTGAACTGAAACTGAACTTAGCTTGCAAGCTTATTTCACACTGAACTTGAACTGAATTAACTTGAACTAGAACACAACTGAAATGAAACTTTTAATGTACTGTGGATTTTTGTGACATGTCTGCTCATCGTGCCGATGTCGTCATTTTGGGGATTGCTATTCAAGCTTAGTACATACCACAATGGCCAGCACGGGTGAGTCTTTCCATTAACAAGACCGGGGTAAGTGAAGCTTAAAATTTCCTTGAAAAATATTCACGAAATATCATGGTAGAGCGTAAACAAAATATTCTTAAATCCAACTTTGCCTTAACTTTAAAATGCCTTTTAAAGTTGTGTTAAGTTTAAAGGCCCAGGGACTTTGAATTGTCCTCGCAAATTGCTTAAAATAGAGATACCACACATAAGGACTTTGTTGAATTTTGACTAATTCCAGACGTGCATGAGATAAGGCCGTTTATAGTTTCAAAACCCATTCAGCGTTAGTCTGAAAGTTAATTTGCATATCAATTAGTGGAACGTGCACTGACATTGCGTTGGCACGTGCTGATAAGATAGTGGGCGTGACTACAGGCTCTGCCAATTCCATGTTGATTGACAGTTGAAATTTGAAAGACATTGGAATGTTGGCGCAAGCCAGGTGCTGCTTACCAAGCGAACTTTTTCTTGGGTTCAAAATGTAGCTATTCAACACTCGGACAATTAATTGTTGCCCATAGAACCAGGTTTTCTTGTTAAGAAAACATCCGTTGTCATCACAGAGCAGAGAACTCCTTAAAAGTGAACCATGGGTATTTATGAAATAATTGGACCAGTAGAGTGGTAATGTAAATTAATGACTGAAGCAGCAACACCTCCCATTGAGTTTTTCTTTTAACTCATAGTTCTAAGCTTGCTCTTATCTCAATTATAACTACGTGGGCTAAATAATTGTATTCAGCAGGGTAGCATTCCAGTGGTAATTGTGCAATGATTGGTATTTTCCTTGAATTCAAAGCTTAATAAATAACACTGCTCATCCTATGCCGGTACTTTCAGGAAACTGTTTAAAAGAATCGACATAAATCGCGGACAGCACGAATAAAAAACGGAACCAACAATATTTCCCACATTGTCAAACCGACTTTTTCTTGGGAAACTCGTTTTCTAGAAGAATATGACATTTGGCAGAGTCAAGGTTAATTTAAATAACTCCATATCATTGGCGCTTTAGCAGATACTAATACACAAAAAAAATAATGATGGGCGTTTTTCAAGTATGCAGACTTCGGGTAGACTTGCAGACTTTTTCATGGATGAGTGGAGGGTTGGTAGGGATGCAGAGGCAGCGTGCGTGCATTCAGCGACTGCAACGCCAAGCAGCAGCTTCAAGTAGGCGGCAGGTTGTTGAAAGTGCGGTTTTGTGAGTGTATTAGTTAGGTGTTCAGTTTAGGTGGTAGTTAACTTAGACTAGGTATCTCCGGAATCTGTTTGCTTTTACCACAGAAAAACCTTACCCCGTCGCGAAATAAGTCGGGTCATGGCAGGTCAAAGTAAAATCCAAGGGAAATGAAATCCGAAATTAAAGGCAATTGGTGGTCAGGTCAGTGTTTGTTTTACGTTTAACCGGACGTAACAATCGCGCAGCTCGAAGTCGTGTTCGCATAATTATCCGCTGTATAATATTAATGTAGGGAAAACTGTGTTAAACTGTGAGAGGAAGAGCAGTTGCTGAAGGAAATGGTGAGCGAGAAAAGTTCGCTGCGAACATGTGCATAGCCAGCGTGCCAGCAGCGCCATGTAGGGTGGAGGGGCAGTTCAACTAGTTTGGGGTGTGAAAGACATTTGAACAAGCATCTATATGCCTTCGGATGTTGAAGGTTGAAACACGTGTGAACAGAGATCACTCTGTTCATAAAATTACCATGATTGATTTTTTATTGGTCACATTTCCATCTTACATGATGGAATTCGTCTATTTTGAAGAAAAAGTGTGCATCTTAATTCATGATTTTTAACTAAAAATCTGGAAAGGGCGTTTATCACCAAAAAAAGAAAGGTTTCTAAAATAATATTAGGTATTACAACTAAAATTGAGCAGACAGTTAAAAATATGTAATGACAGTGTCAAGAAAACCGTAAAAGTGCTGGTGTTGAGCTTTTGTTACAAAAGGCTTGCATGAACTCGTTGAAACTGATATCTGTTTTGTGAAAGTTTAAAGACCGCTGGAATACTGCCCTCTGTCGACCAGGTATGAGATCAAGATAAGTTATTGAAGCCAGTTCAAAGACCCATTATGTAGGAATAAAAAGTTATAATTGTATTAAATGAGACATTACCCGATATAAGAGTAGTCTGCTTGGGAGGCGACTTGGCAAAGAGAACGATAAGTCTACAAGGAGGAAATTTCAGCACAAAGATTTGAAGACGATTTTAGCAGCGTCTGAAACACTGTTTTCACCCACGTAGAATTTTAGCAGTAGGTACACTTTAAATGTAAAAGATACTCGGTGTTAAATTTTGAAGATGAACTGTGGTGAACATCAGTGACAGCGCCTGGTACGTTGTCCATCAAAAAGAACTAGAATCCACATTTTCTATCAAGTATTTTAACCGAAAAGTAAACGATTATATTTTGTATAAGTTAATTTTTGAACGTATGGATCTGCAAACAAGTAGTAATTACACGACTTAGACAATTACTGAGATGAACGTCAATGACAATGCCTGGTACGTTGTCCAACATCTAAAAACCTCGAAGTAACAGTCGATGAGAACCAAGAACTTTACTGTATTATATAAGTTAATTTGAGAATGAATAGAAGTGACAAAAAGAGATTATTGTTGCAAGAGGAAGAGACGAGAAAGAGCTGAGATGAGCTTCAACTACAACGTCTAGTAAGTTGCCCATTATCTTAAAAAAACTTATATGAGTTATGTCCAATAACTGACAAACACGAGGTTGCTTATGATTGTATATGATAATTTTGGATGATACAACTCTGACAGGGACAACGAGAAAGATATGAATATGGCAACGCCTGGTACGTTGTCGAGCATCAAAGGAACCGAAAGGAATTATATTTCATAAACACTTATCAGATCTTTATATTCTTTATAATTGTATAAGGTACGCGTATAATGACAACGAATCGGTTAAGAACGAGGAATTACATGGCAAGGAAGACGGCGAACACAACAGACAGTGCCTGGTACGTTGTCAAAATGATTTCATTATTATTGTATAAGTGCTCAGTAGTAACGACTTCCACGCGTAAACCTTATCGTAGGCATCAATGGTAGTAGAAGACTGGAACCATCAATACGGACATTGGCTGGTACTTTGTCCACTTGAATTATTACAATAGAAAATAGGGCAACAAGCAACAGGTACAATAACCAACTTGGAAAAGCGACAATGCCTGGAACGTTGTCGCTCATAGGTCGCCCTCTAGGTATATTACTAGCGGCGATTTCGAAAAGCCCTGTTCTACAGGAGGTAAGAAATACTCAATTCAGCATGGGACAGATGCAACATTAAACACTTCTCAAAGGAAGACATGACTATTACCACTCAAATTTCCAAAGGAGTTCTCTGTGGAAAATGATAATCAGCATGGAATGAGAAGAAAGAGAAATGGTGGTATTAACCTAGCTGTCAAAATGTGGGATTGGTGCTGCCTGTGGACATGCAATTAAAATGTATTTCCTGAAACTTGGAAGAGAATTTCTGATAGTGTACAGAGATATTTTAAACACAAGTTACTTCAAAGGATTCTCGACATAATCATCTCAGATAAAGAAAAAATAAATGTAAACAGTTTTAACAATAGAAATAAATTAGGCTCATTATAACTGTATAAAGGTTACAACTCCGTAGAAAATAGTATTCAAATTAACATTCATTTGTAATATATATATATATCCATAAACTTACGCAGTTGGTTTTCCGAGCGACTGCAATACTGTGCGGAAATAAAATGAAATTAATAAAGTGGAAGAAAATTTTTTTTAATTTTATACATTTACGTAAGCTTATACGAGGATTTGTTCCCTTTTAAGTGTTGCACGATCGTTGAAGTTTGTACGACGGGAAATAAGAAGCTAAAGCGAAATTTAGAAAATATCGGCCAAAAACTTCTTACTTTTGGCCTATCTTAACTTCATCGCTGCAAATATTACGCCCTGAGGAAGTGATGAAAAATCACAAATTGGAGAAGATTCTTGAAATCAGTGTTGTTTTCTTCTCTCAACCGAAATTCGAACGATATGGCTACAAAACGAAAATGAAGGCAAGTTTCACG